GGGGGCAACTAAAATGGCCATCGGCGGAGACCCCCCGCCTTGATCATTTTCTGCATGGAAGGCTCCCAGAGCACTGGGGAGGTGAGCTGCTTCTTCAGCAGATCCACCACCACCTGAGATCCAAATGACTTTGTCCCAGTCCCGGTGTCTCAAGATTTGGGGGGCCTGAAGGGACAAAGGGAATCAACAAAAATACGTCCAAAAGAATTCAAACCAAGCAGTGGTTTGCTTGTGGCATCTGACATCGCGGTTGGGACTGACCGTTCCCAAAGGTGGGAAGCAAGAGACACATGCCCAAGCAGATTGTTCCAACGAGCGACCATAACTACTTGTTGTTTACCCTTGAAAATCGTCCCAACAAGTTTGTAAAGTCCAGTGAAAGTAAGCAGAGGGTTGCCACGTTCTGTTGTGCGCAGATCCCGAGGTCCCCGTCACTGGCAAGGGCCCCGCAAATTCCCCGAGATTCAAATCTCTTGCCAGAGATACAACCAGCGGGGTGTCTTCCCGAAGAAGGCAAAGACAGCATAAAAACTTACCCACCAACAGGAAACGCCCCAAGGATCATATTCCATCTACGCAAAAAAAAGAAAGAAGAAAACAAAGGGAAACCTAGGCCAAATCCCCTTACAACGGCAAGAATGGCGCTAGCAACATACCCCCCCCCTGAAGAAAGAAAACCCCCTCCTCCACCCCGGCGCCCTCCAAAAAAATAAAAACGACCCGCAAATCCCACGCAAGAAGTTCGCATCAACCGCCCAAAATCCAGCCTTAGGATCGGTGCCAGGCTTCAGGGGCTCGCCAGTGGCGTTCATGTACACGCTGTGCTTCAGCCTAGGGTGATACAATGCCTGCTTTTTCGGACCCCCGTGACGTTTTCTGAGATGAGACATCCCGGAAGACCTCCCCGTGCTTTTTCTGAAGATGAGGAATTGCAAAAGACCTGTCCGTGTTAGACCGAACCGCGTAAACTACGAAAACGGAAACGGTTGAGATACCTGGCTTTCCCTTCAAAGCATGCAGAAACAACAACAAAACCAATACCCTTGGCTTGGGAGTAGGGCAAACCATTCGGATAAACACCGAAATAATCACCCTTAACCCCTGAGCTCGCCATAATGCCGGCAGATGATCGCACCTATTATGTGGATAGGTTCCGATCACTGGAAGGTTTACGGGAGTAGCTTTGACAGGACTTATCCAGTAGAAACACCCACGCACACACCAGATGTTTTATCAATGTAAAAACAAACCATGACATTCAGGCAATTCATTGAACAACTGAACAATGGCTTGTCCTCTGCCTGGAAGCTCACAAGCTCCAAATATTGATCCTTCGTTCTGATTCATTCCGGCATTCTCGGTCGGAAGGCTCTTGTTTCGGGGGACCAACAAAGCACTCGACATCCACCATGGGCAGAAACGACTGCCAGCAACTATCATAAACCATTCAAGTGACATCCTGAAATTCCCCCCCCCCCCCCCCCCTCCCGACTGGTGCATTCGATGGGAGCAACAGCCGTAGCTGGTGACCCATGGAGACCACCAAATCAGCCAGGCACGCTACTCCCCGCAGCATCCGTCCGCAAGATACCCCAGCGCTATAACTCGCCCTTTGGACAGGGCTGTAGATATCATCCCAAGTGACAAAATCCTGACCCAAGTTGCATGGGCGTGCAAACCAGGAAGCTCTTCCAACGTTTGGTCTCATCTGGGTTTCTTTTGTAAAGTCGCTCCCAAATTGGTTTCTAGTTTTGACACAGCGAGATGATTGTCCCCATGCAACATCTGGAACATCCAAAGAGATATCCAAAAGGATTTTGCTCTAAAACAGATTCATGTTCAGGAAGTAACCAATCGCAAATCCACATTGAGAACAAATTCTCCGTGTTTCTGTTTTGGCAAAAGGGCCTCCTTCATGGGCTCGAATTTTCAGAAGTGCGACTTCATTTTTGGAGGAGTCTCCATCCAGGGAAGCCTTTTTAGGAACAAAGAGTATACAGACTCAGAAGAGTAAGCCGCTTGAGTGAGGTCTCGGCGGCTGCATGCGGGGCAGCATCTCATCCAACGCCTGGCGTCCGAAGTCTATCGGAACTCATCCGTAGCCCAAAGCTGATGGGGGGTCGATCAACTTCTCAGTTGGATTGGTCACCAAAAGCACAGACTGTTGGATTCCCCGTTCTGATCTTCCCAAGACGGCCCAGATGGCGCAAGGTTGCAAACATAGAGGGCACCCAGGAGACACACAGGAAGTTTAGGGGAACCCCTGAGCAACTTTCCCCGAAGCCCAGTGCACTCCCAAGGAGCAACAAGAAGAAGAAGAAGAGGAAGAAGAAGAAGAAGAAGAAGAAGAAGAAGAAGAAGACACACTTGTTGCAGCTGGGAACCCATGTGTGCCCGTGTGTTGGTGAGTTTTCACGCTACCGTTTCGCGGGTTAGCCTCCCTAGCCTTCGACCGCCTGGGCTCCAGCCTCGCCGAGCTTGGCCTTGGCGGGGGCCATCAGCGAGGTGTGGAAGCCCCCGGAGGTCTTCAGCACCTGGCGAGCGCCCGTTTTACTCGTTGACTCTTGATGGACTTCTCACATATGGCTGTGGCTCAAAAATATGTACCCCAAATGGAACCCTGGTAAGTGGAAACATGAACCAAAACCTGGTTCCCTGGTGGTTTAATTTTGTCCCATACCCATATGCGAATGGCTTACATCGCCTTAACCCTGAATAGAAGAGGTAAAAACCTCCTGCAAAATTGGATAGGGGTTTGGGATGCCTAGTTTGGAGAAACATCAATTGACACCAGTCACGAGTGACCCTAAGGCAGAATGTGGAAACGGAATCCTCTTTGGGGTTGACCATTTTCATTGGGGCTGCGCATAAAATTCGTTCCAAACCCGACATTCAGTGCGATGCGAATTCCTGCAACCGGTTGCAAACCATTCACCCGAGCGGGAGATAAACCAAGCCCTTTGGGGCCGGAACCATTTTTCGGCGGGCACTCTTCAAATGGGTGCTTTCCCTGTGGGTCTCTTTCAAGCAAACCGAAAAAGGGCAACCTCCAAAAGACACATCCACTGCTGCACAGCAAGGTTCCATTTGTCGAATGCCGAGATAGACTAAAGACAACTCAGAGGGGGGCCATTTTGAGTAACTCCCCCTTGGTTTCCCTTGAAACAAATTATGTAACAGCTTACTTGGCACAAGGTCTAGACTGTCTCTCAACTTTTTGGACCTTGACAGGACTGGTCGTAGCCCGAAGGCTAGAAGGTCGCTTCGCGTTCGACCAAAGTTCGTCAGATGGTTTTGAAAAGGACACAAGCTGGGTCCATTCAGGTGACCTTCTCCAGATCACCCTCAGGAGCAATCCGACCCGATCGGCAAGGCACAAAATTGGTTCCTGGCACCTGTGGCATTGGTCTGCTCGGAGCAACTCTCACGGTTGCTGAACTCATTCGTCCAAAGGGCCCAGAAATAAGAGGTTAACCGTTTGGGACCTTTTCTAACCAAAGGCTTAAAAACCCAAGTTGGAAAACCAAAGGGTTGAAAAGGTCAGCTTTGGGCAACTGAGGAAATAATCAGCAGGGAGCCCAAGTCCATGTCCAAAGCTCTCGTCTCGCCTTCGCCTGCAGTGCGCCGTTGGAGTCTGCCAACTCCTCACGCGCGCACGACGCGTAAGCGGCTCGGGCGCAGGGGGCGCTTGGCGATGTTCCCAGTGGGCGGATCGCCCCGCCGGATCTAAAAGGGTTCAGGGCGGTTGCTGATTTTTGAAAATAGGGGCAGAAATGAACTAACACTACGTAGTATAGATGTATTTGTATGTCATCTAGTCATAAGTTAATAGTGATCAGGTTTGATCTTACAAAGCCTTCCTTCCAGAAAATGCCATAATGTGGAGCATCAAGGCTGGGCGCAAATTTCTGCCCAGACACTTGTGAGGGGACGTTCCGACCAGTTGTTTGAAATGCAGGAACACAAAAACACAACTCAAAGAGAGTGGCTTTCGTTCCGCGAAACCGCAAGGAAAACAAATACGAACAATCCTTTATTTCTTTCTTTCGTTCGTTCTTTCTTTCCTTCTTGCTTTCTTTTCGCGGGCGGGGAACCCTACTTTTGGAGACAAATCCACAGCAATCAGGTTCCTCCCGGATGTTCCACCATGCGGGTGCACTTGGAGACTAGCCATGCAGGTCTTCCAGAAATATACAGTAACCACAAGAAAATCGATCAGACAACGAACAGAGATAGCTAACAAGCTGCGTTCTGACAATGTGCCAGCCTGGCTGCTCAACAACCCCTCAAATGCCACACATGAAAAGCACAACCCTCAACCCTGCTACAAGTATGTTCATTTACCGCCTACCGATACCTACTTACCTACCTTCTTACCTACCGAACCTTCCTGCCTATGCCATCCATACAAACATAGCTGGCGAAGCCCACGCAAGGACAGTTGGCACCTGTATGGCAGGGATAAATCCCCATTCAGCCGGGTTGCTATGGCCTCGTTTTCTGTTCATCTGATTCGTTTGTCAGGTTGTCAAATCTGGGCTGTTGCCAGATCCTCTGCTAAAAGTCTAACTTTTAGTGGTTTAGCGGAAACCACTAAACCCTAAAGAAAACTAAAAACTCAAGCCACCGGACAGCTGGAAACAAGAATAGAGGCCCTTTGGGGGGCTTGAGTAACATCTCCAGGATTCCGGTCAAAGGATACATCCAAACACCCCTGGATGTAAAGGATCCGAATCCAAATCAGTTTGTTTTTGGGTGACTTCTGAACTGGCCACTGAAAATACACCCTACCAAGTGGGGGGGGGTCACACCCAAAGAGAAGGATTGCTATTCATTAACGCTTTACTAATCCGGGGACAACATTGATGCATACCCTTTCATCTTCGTTTCAAGGGAAGGCAAACTCCTAATCTGTTTTGAATTCCCCCTCGTTCGACACACGCCCACATCTCTGTCATAGAAAACATCGGCAAATGTATAGAATCGGAGCGGACCAATTTCCGCACCTTTTTATTTTTGGGGGCTGTCCCCTACCAACCTTATCCCAAACGTTGATGTTGGCTCCGGCGTGTCGACGGAAACCATAGTGACACGCGTGGCAGCGTGCAGAATCGCCGGGCCAGTCCTACAAGCGAACCATGAAAATCTGGTGAGCGGAAGTCGAGCAATCCAGGCACACCAAAGCCAACCAGCCATGCGGTTGATCATGAGCAATCAATGGCGATGCCGCCAGCCTGCAATGAACGAAGCCCGTCAGCCAATTCAGGTTCGAGGCCTTGGTTGAAATCCTGGCCGAAGGTCAGGCTCTGCAAACTCGGCAAGCACACACCCTGCAGCCATTGCTTGAAATGAAGGCCAAAGGCTAGCTTCTGCAGGCTGCCTGGAAAAGCCACTCCCTGTAAGCTTTGGTTGAAGCTTTCGCCGAAATTGAGGCTGCGAAGTCTGCCTGGAAACGTCAGCCCCTGCAAGGATTCGTCAAATGCATTCCCAATAGACAGACTTTCCAAGGAGCCTGGCAAGTTGACTCCCTGCAAAGCTTGATTGAATCTATCGCCCAAAGTCAGGCTCTCCAGGCTGTTCGGCAGATTCACTCCCTGCAAAGGTTGATTGAATCTATCGCCCAAAGTCAGGCTCTGCAGGCTGTCCGGCAAGTAAACACCCTGCAAGCTGTGAGTAAAACGATGACCAAAAGCCAGACTCTGTAGCCTTTCTGGCAAAGTCACTCCCTGCAAGCTCTGGTTAAATTCGAAGCCAAAAGTGAGGCTCTGCAGACAGTCTGGCAAAGAAACTCCCTGCAAACTTTGGTTGAATCCAACGCCGAAAGTCAGGCTTCGGAGGCTGCCTGGCAACGTTGCACCTTGCAGGCCCTGGTTAAAATGAGAGCCGAAAGTCAGGCTTTGTAAGCCACCTGGCAACGCCAGTCCTTGCAAGGGCTGATCAAAATAGTGGCCAAAGGTCAAACTCTCCAGGCTTTCTGGAAAACTCACGCCCTGCAAGCATTTTGTGAATCCAAGGCCGAATGTCAGCACCTGCAAGCTGCTTGGCCATGTCACGCCCCGCAGGTCTTGGTTAAAGGCAGCACCGAACATCAGGCTCTGCAGGCAGCCCGGCAAAGTCGTGCCTTGCAAACTTTGGTCAAAGCGCTCTCCGAAGGTCAGGCTCTGCAGCCCTCGCGGCAGAGTCACTCCCTCTAAGCTTTGGTTGAAATAAGTACCAAAGCTCAGCCTTTGCAAGCTCTCCGGCAACGTCACTCGCTGCAGGCTGGGGTAAAAATCACGGCCTAAAGTCAGGCTCCGCAGGCTGCTTGGTAAAGTCACCTCCAGTTGGTCAAAGTCAAACCCGAAGGCCAGGCTCTGCAAACCGCCTGGCAAAGTCAAGCTTTGGTTGAATCTTTCGCCGAAAGTCAGGCTTTGCAGCCCGGGCAAAGTCATTTCCAAGGGTTGGTCAAAGTCCTGGCCGAAAGTCAAGCTCTCCAGGCAATCTGGCAAAGCCACTCCCTGCAAGCTTGCGCTGAAACCGTGACCGAATTTGAGATGCTTCAAGCTCGGAAAAGCCACTCCTTGCAAGGGTTGGTCAAACTTATCACCCAGAGTCAGGCTCTGCAGGCCGACTGGCAGAGTCACTCCTTGCAGGCTTTGGTTGAACCCATGGCCAACAGTCAGGCTCTGCAGGCTGCCTGGCAGAGCTACTTCCTGCAAACTTTGGTTGAACGCATTGCCCAAAGTCAGGCTCCGCAGGTTCTGCGGCAAAGTCACTCCCTGCAAGTTTTGGTCAAAGCGTGTTCCAAAAGTCAGGCTCTGCAGACTCATGGGCAAAGTCACTCCCTGAATAGGCTGGTAGAACGTATCGCCCAAGGTCAGGCACTGCAGTGTGGAGGGAAGTATTCTCAGCGGCAGTGCTTTTGTCGAGTCCCACACCAGGCTTGAGATGCCTTCCAGTGCATGCTCGCAGTCCTCATCGTGCTGCCCTCTCAGCACATTCCACGCCTTCACCAGGCAGGCTTGAGTGTAGGTGAACATGCCGATTGAGTGACCTATACCCTGCTCACACAAAGCTCTGTCATGCGCCAGCTCGACACCACTAAAGCTCAGCCGGAGCCAGCAGCCGGGCTTCGGAGGCAGCTGGCGCCTCACGAGCCCCACGAGTTCACTGCCCAAGATCTGATCTGAAACTGTCAAGGCCAGCTCTCGGCCATCCAGGCCGACCAGGGTCAACTTCAGGCTCGCCATGTGCGCCGGAAACCCCGGAGTTTGCCTACCTTTCCGCTTCGGAGTCCAAAGAAACGGCCATGCAAATCGATGCTCCCAATCTATCTTAAGGAATATCTGACCATGTTACCATTGGCTGCCTTACACCAGCACGGTGCTGTAGCCAAGACTGCAGGACCACTGGCCCAAAGTTCCACCACGCACGGCTTCTTTGGCAGAGTTTGGCAACTGGAACATGCATTCAGGGAATACGTGAATGCTAGAGCATGAGCAAAGCAAGGGCTTGCTAGAGCCATTGCAATCACGGATCAGTGTGCCGTGCTGAGCCCGTGCAATGCTGTATGTCCAGGAAGGCACTTTGCGCGGGACGGGCCCCAAAACCATACTTCGTTCAAACTCTTGGCAGCAACCGTACGTATGTACGAGCATTATAAGAGGAATCCCAGGACCACTTAATGTGTATATCCTTGGAGTCAAATACACACTCAAGTGTAGAGGTCCCCAAGCTGGGGATTCATAAACCAGGACCTCCCTCAACATGTTTCCTTCTCTGCACTTGACAGTTGATTCGGCGTGTGTTTTTGCCAGCGCACGTGCTGTCGATCCACCCACCTCCCCAGCTGGCCGTCATTTCAAAATGCCGACATCTCTTGAAAAACAAACCAGCAGTAAATTGAAACTATTTGCACATAGAGAAATGGAAGTGATCAAACGGTGCTTTCCATGGATAATGGCCCCCCCCCCTCTGTGATACTGCCCCTTTGCTGTGATACTGAAGCAAAAACAAAACATTTCTATGTCTAACTGTCACATTCCAGTTCTCCAGCTGTCGTCACACCCGAAGCAAATTAAGCAAGGTGGAACACTAAAACGCGCTGCTCACGTGTTGCGGATAAGATGACCTAGCAACCGCATGTTTGGCAAAGCGGCAAATCAAGAAATCTACTCTTGGAAAGGGGGGCCCTGCCCTTGGATGGGTGCCCGCACCCCCTTCCACCACAAAGGTAAACCCGCCGAAAGGAGGCATTCTCTAGCCTCTTTTGTGTAGTTCCGAGTAAATATCTTCTTACATCCTCACCCAACATCGACTGCAACTTGTCAACCAGCCGCTGCTTGTTTGTAATCCAGAGACATTTTGCAACCCCAGGCCCGGCACTTGGTTTCCCCAGTGGATCCCACTCACCCCTGTGATTCCTTTCAGGTTTTCAAGGGTGCTTCCCTTGGTCAACTAGAACACCCAGTCGCCCTTATAGTAGGTAAACCAGCCATTTTCCTTTGGGTCTTGAAAGGGCGATACTGCACAGGGAGCACGAATCACTGGGCCTCTTCGTTCTCTATTTGGAAACGGCTGAGAGGTCGCTGGAGGGGCCGGCTGGACCTGGACATGGTTGGATTTTCCAAACCATTTTGGAGGGGCTTAAATCCCCCAGGCATGTAAAGCCTCAAGGCACGAAGCGGGAGGGGGGATGAGTGCTTCACCTCACGCCTATATCATTTACCACGGTTGGATTCCCCTTTTGGACGTCCTTTATGGTTGGATGTATGCCGCTCATGCCGTGTATGCATTACAGTTGTTCAGCGGATACATCCAAATAACACTGCTTTGCAATCCGGATCCTGTAAACCAGCGGGAATTAAATGTTTGTTGACCAGGCTCCTGTTCGACGCCCCAGAGCCACTACTCGAGCATTTATTGGCGTCTCAAAGTAAGCACCTCGAGCAACCCAGACCAACATTTTGCTTGGGCATGTGGGTTTGTCTCAACATAGAGGAACCCTCAAAAGAGGGTTCCCCCAAAGAAAGAACAACAACCACGACATGTGTCCACCAACCCATTCGGCCCATGCGTTTTTTTTGGGGGGGTCTTCCTTTTTTAAGCCTCAGGACCAAAACCGCGTAACAAACTTCTCCTTCAGCTTCAGGATGGCCGCCTCTGTGCCAGCGCAGGAGAAGCCTCTCTCGAGCACCGCGGTTGCCGTTTCAGGACATGGACCCTTTTTGTTGGGTTTGGAAGCCTTGTTGGGGTCCTTCCTCTGAATTTGCAGGGGACTAGTGTTGTGGTGACCCCCCCGAGTTGCCATCAGTGGCCTGCTTCCCAGCCTGTGCAAAACACACCATCCCCTCCCTGTTGCATGAGGGGACCAGCGACACGTAACGCTTGTACAAAACTGATTGGAGAAGTCCTTCTTGGGGTCAATTCCAATACGTGGGAAATTACCAAACCTATGGATTTTTATATGGAACCCCCTGAACTGGAGATGGACCCGGGCCGGCAACATGACCACCGAAACGGGCTTTGGGATGGTCACTTTGCGAACCCATGCAACGAGTTGAACTTCTTAAGAGATACAAAGGGCTGACCGTAGATGGAACAACTCCCTTGAAGCAAATGATGAAGCCACCAAAGTCAGGGGAGTTGTGACATCTAAATTCACCCCACTATAGTGAAAAATCAGCAATTGCTCAAACAATCACAACAGCTAAACAGGACGCACCAAAGAAGAACCACATGTACAGCAGGCCGAAAGTACATGGCGCAATTCCCCCGTGTTGGTAGCATTGCCTTGGTTCACCCACGTCCGGCACGCAGCTCCCCCCAGCCTTTGGGGAACAGCTCGTTGGCAATCTGGCAAACGGCCTGCCCGGACGACCAACGTTTCGGACGGGTTAGAAGAGAACAGTTGTGTGTCTCGTTTGCTGAACGCACGGAATTCAGTCAAAGGAATCCAACGATGTTCCCTGGGCCGAAGGCAAAGGAAACCCACCTGTAAGGATACAGGTAAACCCATGGAATCAACGAGGTTGATGCTCTCCGCGGCCAACTCAAACCAAGCTGGTTTCCTTTTCAAGCGGCCCATGGCCGGCGATGGGGTGGCCGTGGGCCAACCTGGGTCCCTTCCGGCGCGTTTTTGCCGCACAGAATCAAGTCTTTACCAGTCATATGTCCAAAAAAACAATTAAACCATGTTCAAAACTGGTCATAGAACATATGTCCCAAAAGCACAAAACCACAATGAAACCCTGTTCAAGAACTCCATGTGAGCATGAACTCATCGAGGGAGGGTCGTCGGTCATTGGACATGGTGAGGTCGCTTTGATTCAGAAGGGTTTTGTCTGGACGGAACAGGATTCAGCAAGCCACTTGCTCAAACATGTAGGTACGTGTCGAACAAATGATGTGTGTTCCTGCGGCGTTGTCAAATGACACTGACTGCCATTACCCAAGGTGCCAAGTCAAAATGGGTGTCTCGAGATGGCATTCCAAAGAAGAACGGCGCTTTTTTGTTCCGTCCGTTTCTGGGGTTCTGAGCCCCGAGTTCAGGCACAAGACGGCGAAACTAAACGACAGGATGGAAATGCATACTCGGTTCCGTTGCTGTTCTGCGCGAACACATGTATGCCAACGCCGGTCAACAAGCCGTGAGCAGAACGGGCCGCGGTTCCTCATGTCGGACATGAAACGGCTTTACTTGTCCTAGTTACTCTTGCCAAAAGTTGCCGCTGCGGCGAGACGTCTTCGGCGGCATCCCGGCAGACAAACCGGGACAAACATCAAACTCCACCAGAGTATCCCAGCCGCAAGCCACGGAGGAGGAGGATCCTTTTGGATTTTGCAGGCTACTGGATCGTGTTTCTTTCGAAGACCGTTTCGGCGTGTCGCAGCCGCGCATCGAACGCCCAGCCGGCCTGGCCACCCTCGGCCTTGCGCGCGTCCTCACCTGACTTGAATGCTACGCGAGTGTTCGTTAGAGTTGGTACTCCTTGATATAGTTGCTATACTGTCTGTATATATATATATACACTATATGCTATACTAATTTCTTCTCCTGAAAACTGCCCTTCGCCGCCCTTCTGCAAACCTTCCGCGCCCATTGTAAATCTACACTAAAGTGATCACTGCTTTTCGATCAGTGCTTTCGGTTACTGGCCCTTCCGCAAGCTCATGCCATGTAAGCCTGGAATACTAAACCGAATACATGGGTTTAGCACGACGCCAATACATATATATATATATATATATGTATATATATATATATATGTATATATATATACATATATATATATATATATGCACACCGGGACATATGCAAAGCAGATGGCACCTTCTGTGAGGGGATGACATGGGATGACCAAAGCCAAATGAGGGAATTGTGCCATCTGCTGTTCACCCGGATTGAAAGGACGTGGCGAAACAAAATCCACGCCTGGTAGGTGTTCTATCCCAGTATGTATAGTCCCACCCGGTGCGAAACGGAGTTTGCTATTAGCAGGGCTGAAACGTTGATACAATATAATTTTGGGTCAACAGGAACTGGTTGGCTTATTTGGTTATAACCTACGAGAGAGGCTGAATGTATCGGATAGCCAGTGTCAGCCTTTTGCTAAACCCTCTTTGGACATGGGGAAATTGGCAAATTAGAGAGAGAGAGAGAGAGAGAGAGAGCGAGAGAGACCTCGATGTCCCTGCCGATGGATTGGACTGTTTGATTGACCGAACCTGTTGTATCGAGGCCGGGGCCCCGCATAAAATACACAATCCCTACAAGCCAACCACAAAACAAGACCCCTGCAAACCAACTACCGCAGAAAACACCCCAAAGCCGTCAGCAAGCTTCCTTGCAATCAACCCTTCAAACCTGGAAGAAAACCTTCAACTTGCTGGCTCTCAGGGAATGAGGAAAAGACCCCCTGTAGACTATCCCTTATGGTTTCTCCATGGAATCCCAAAACGGTCCATCCCCAACACTCTGATTCATTCTGAGCACCAGCAAGTTTCTGGGAGACGCCCTTCTGGCCTTTGCCAGCCCCCCCCTTGCAGCCCGTCTCGACGGGAGCTTCGACGCTGGGACCCCGGCAGAGAGCTGTCAACTTCTCCTTCTCGAAGCCTGCCACGGAGAGCATCGCCTGGCCGTCGCTTTGGCTTCGACTTCCTCTGGGATTCTCTCCAGGTTGGATTTAACCACCTCGGGGTTTGCTCCTCTGGCACATATGATTTATAACTAAGCCCTGTGTGTCATTGCGTTTCATTGTGTAGTGTGGGGGTCTTTGACACTTTATTCCAGGGCACGTGGTTGGGGCCTTGGACTGGCCCCATGGACTCTTGGCCCAGGTGCCATCTCAGTGCATGATATGGGCGTCTCTTCTTTGTTTTGCGTACATGTCAAAGGACACGCAAGGCAAATGGTGTGCTGTGTGTTATGCTATGCATCTGGGGGGGTTCCCCTACTTGAATATACACCCCATATGGACCCCAGGAAAGAAGCTTTCAGTCCGAAGGGGAACTGTGGCTTTGGCATGTCGACCAAATAGGAACAACTAAACATAGTCCCTACCCAGGTTGGTGCCCCGGGTTTTTTAAAATTGATGCTTGCACCTAGAGGAAAGCTAGCTTCTCGGGTCGCCCACAGCAACCTTTGGGGGCGCTCCCCCACATAGGCGTTCGGAGCTCCGGGCGTGCTCGGGCCTGCTTTGTTTGGAACCTCAATGGACTCCAATGAAGCATTTCAGGGAGCCTGATGGCTTCTTATCCAGCTGTTTTGAGGAATTGTTGCTGCTTATGCATATTTACCCCCAGAACCCGAGTGGTGTGAAAAAAGGCATCTTCTGGTATTTGAGCTTACAGAATAACAACGATTTGCACTCTTCGTTGGAATCCCCGTCCCACATTTGAGAACACATGAACACCGCCCAACACCCTCACCAGCATGGTGATAAAGGTCCTGTGTAGTGAACTCGAGGGGTCTGAAAAAAGACGCCATCCATCCTTGGAGGAGATTAACAAGTCGGGAGATTAAGCAGGCAGAAACCTTCTGGCTTCAATGTTGGCAAAGGGCGCCTGAGACACGCAGGAAACAAACATGTTTGTTCCTGTGCGTGGACGAAATCCGCGTCGCACAGTTGAAACCCTAAAATATGGAGCCTCCTCAAGGCTACTTTCCGATCGGGAAAAGATTGGTGAGCAGGGAATGCGGGGAACCATCCCTTTTGGTATCCTTAAGAAATCCCTAGGTTCAGTCCCAAATCGCCTGTTGGTTCCATGAGAACCAGCAGAAACATGAAACCCCGAGCGCTCAGCCTGCTTCCCCACCGAGGCAGCATCCTGCATGGCCTGCCCACCTCGCAGGAGTTTCAGAAGCTTCGCAGGGCCTTTAGGCGCAACGGGTTCTCTGTGTTTTTGACACCCGGTTCAGATTGGTCGAAAGAAAACTGATGTGAAAACCACAGTTTCAGATTGGGTTGAAGAAAACCAATAGGCAAGGAGCCCATTGTGGATGAGGTTGCTTTTCCTCCTTAGGCCCATGGCTCCTTGTGGGGTCGCTATCAGCTATCATTCTCCCAAATACGATTACTCACATGAATGCAAGGCATGCAAACCACAAGCCATTGTAAACTAGCGCCGCTCTCAAGCTGTGCCCAACTTTCGACTCTGGCTTCTCTCCGATGGTGCAGAAGCCGCCGGCCCGAAACCGGCCACCCTCACAGTCACAGGGATTCACTCCTTCGAACAGCGCAATGGTTGAACACATTTGCAGAAGATTCACAATGGGTCGGGGAAACCTCCATTCCCATTAGACCCTAAGCCGAAGCGAGCTTCGGGAACTGCAGGCCGCGAGTTATTTCATATTGATTCCTAGTACTGCCAGCAGAAACCATAGTGGCCATGTAGGAAGCGAACCTTTCCTCTTCTGGCTGGTGGATATGAAAGCAAAACCCACAAAAAGACTCGAATACACGCAGTGGACACCGGTGGACACCGCCGGACAGCTCGAAGGCACTTTGGCCAGTCTTTCGTCCAAACCTGCCAGTGCGTGCTACAAGAAAAGGGGGCCCGCTAAAACACGTGGCCAACGAAGTGGTTTTGCAATTGGTTGTGTCTGTTCTGACTGAGGGGACCCCGGAAGTGTGGAAGTCTCAAAACTGGCACCATTCAAGGAAGCCACAGCCATGGGCCCGAAAGCAACTGGGTGCACAAGCTGGAGCAAACAATCATACGTTTTGTTGATCAACAAACTGGGGGTTTCGAGATTTCAAGAAACATGGACATTTTACAAGCCCCGTTCGGATGGCCGCCTCAACTTGGTGAGGGGATGCAACCCTCCAGTTGTAAAAGCGAATCAACGGGGATCAGGCGGGGGAAGCAGGGATGAGAAAGGAATCCCCAATGAAGCAGTATACCAATGAATGTTGGAAACTAGCAGGGAACACCAGAAGAGAGGTTTAGTAGGGGAACCCTCCCCCAAAACCTGGTAAAAGGGCACTACTGGGGGACCTAGTATCGCTGCTGGTTGGTGCTTCTGAAGACCAGGGGTTCGTAGTACAGCCGCAGTGCTGCAACCCATTCGGCGCCCGGGCGAAGTGCCACCAGCTTCAGGCCGTCCTGACGCGAAAGCCCAAAGGGCAGTCAGGTGGGTGTTTTTGACAAGGGGTCCCCTCTAAAGGTCGGTTTAAAGTGAAACCAAGGCAAACCATGTTTTCAGAAGCCCCTCATATCCCCTCATTTTAACACATACCCAAATGGATCCTTTCTGAACCATGGATTCTGAGAACTCGGTCGCGTTTAGACTCCTAGAGTTGCACCCGAAGGTCTCAAGCAGCTCGTCTCGAGTGCTCAGTTTGGAGAAAGGATATAATGTGATCATGTATTGAAATGACTCCCGATGGACCACCTTCACACGTGGTCCTGCGATGTTGCGGGGAAATGGGATGTGCTGTGTACCCCTCTCTTCTGAAGGTTGTGCTGGACTAATTACAGCGTGGCATTCTCAGTTGCTCGAATGCAGTGAGGCCATGTGCACTACAAGCGGGCGTTTGGAACCCCCTTGGCCTTGAAACCTACCAGCAACCTGTGCCAAAGCAGCCGTGAGAAGGCTGCCCTGGGTCAAACAAACATCAAGTGAGCAGACTTCGCGCTGTCGGAGGCACCATGGTTTTCAACCACTATTTGTCAGGCCCCTGTTCTGACCTCTTGATCACTTCATATCTGGGCCCAATACCTACTATATGTGATAAACCTGAGATAAACAACCCGTAAAGGACGTTCTTCATGGATGAGCTCGGGCTACCCTCAGGTGAGCCGCCTCTGAGTGGCACGAACTGAAAGGAAGTAAGTCTCACTCTGTCTGGCACTTTCAAACGGGAAACCAGTTGGCACGTGTCACGAGTGGGTCACTGGGGACTGCGTTAATTTGGACATCGACACAAAACCCATAGGGAGCCCCAAAAACTGTCGGTCGGTCGCCCTGGAGCTGCCAATCCGTCTGCAACACTTCAGGTGCCGGGGACCCAACTCGATTTGACACAATGGTGTGTTGCTCCACACTGATATCAAACCGTTCTTGTTAGCTGGGCCATTTAGTCAGCTACTGGCTGGCTTCTGTGGCATTTTGGGTGTTCTTCAAGAAGCATCCGTTGAGGGTGCAGTGACGCAACCAAACACCCGGCTTGCATGGCACGAAGCTGCCGAGGCCGACAGGAACCCTTTTTGTCCGGCTCCGCGAGCTATACACGCAGCGAAATGCGCCATCCACAGATGGGTGGCTCTTGCTCAGGCAAATCAATATAGAGCATGACAAAAAAGTGGAATACATGAACACACTACCTTGAAGGGTAGCTTCATAAAGCTGGATTTTATACTAAATCATATATTGCACACAACACATAACAGTAAAAACACATGTTCCGTGTGGCGTTTGGAAAACATATAACCGCGTAAATACATGTTCCATTTCGACTTTGGTACGCTTTGCTCGTTTTCATGTTGGTGACTTACCCCTGTGTACATGCACATCCGTTTGGATGCCATGCCTGGGCCCCAAGGCCTCAGCGGCTCAACTTGACCTGCTTGCCGCTGCGGCGGAAGCTGGCGCAAACCCTGGGGCGAGGCAAGAGGCGTTTCACAGCGCCACACACCGGAGTCCTATGTCCACGGGCCCCAAAACGAAGCCGTAGATGTTGATCAACATCTTCTGGAGAGCTCATATTCTGATGCAGCAATCGAAAATTGGGGATCCCTACAAGCAATCCTTCATCATGGGTGACGTCAATCGCCTCGACCGACGTCGCTGTGTTCTTTGCTCAAATATGTCCAGGTGATACACCATACAAACACCAGCCCAACAGACGAGTGCGGCCAAGGACTTACAGCCAAATCTGCGCACCTCAAGGACCTGACTGGTCATTCCACGTCTGCCCCCACTCACACTCCTTTCCAAAACTCCCAGCTTTCCTTAGCTGGTTACCTGGTTGTCTTAAAATATTTGGACCCCCTAAAATGTGCGGTTGCCCCTTTGATATCCCTCCGCAACCCATTTGAATCACACCGATTCCGGATTGGATTTTGTCCGGCCATACAGAATCACAGGGCACCCAGGCACCCTGCAAAGGAGAAGCGTCCGTGGTTTTCTTGCTTTACACCTCTGCTTTTGGTAAGAGCATCCTTACACGACCCGCTTTGGTGAGGCGGCTAGGGAGAAGCCTTGGTGATCTAGCCTTGGATGGCCGAAAGTGGCTACAAGCGAACCCACAGCTGCGGGTCTTTGAAGGCACGACTACCCAAACATGTTAACACCCAAGCAGTATCGGCCAGATTGGAAAAGGCACCACTGCAAGGACTATGCCCGCCTCCTGAGAGCCATGTTAAACACCCAGGCGCTCGCGAAAAAAAAAGAAAAAAAAAAAAAAAGAAGAAGAAAGAAACAAATACACACCCTGGCCAAACCAAGTCGATCCGATGTTGTCCACCCTCTTGCCCAACTGTTGGCTGAAGTCCTATTTTCCTACTCCCAAACACAGGAGCCCGGTTCCAAAACTGCGGGGTTCGTTTTGACATACGGCGCGTCCGCACGTCCGGGGTTCCCGGCGAGCGCTTCACCGCGAAGTTCGGCTGCGCCGCCGCCTTGGGCTCGAACTGTGACGGTCCCAGCACGCTCCTGGCGAAGTCGCGCGGTCGCAAGGGGCGCCTCGAGAGCGAACAATGTGGCACCTGAGGGGGTTGTGCTGAAGAGAAACCAACGTTCCAGCTTCTTTGCAGTGCCCTCGATTCATTTTTTGGGTGCTATGATCCATGTTGAAAATACGGGCACCTAGTCCTAAATCAAAGAGGTCACTCAAGCCATTTTAAGGGCACTTAGACCCTCAGGGTTGCCCTCCCCAGCAGATCCCTCCTCAGCCAGGGCAAATCGAGCCGCAGCGACACGTGAATGCGAATGACACTCACACGGGGGCGGGACCGACGCTGGGCAAATCGAGCCGCAGCGACACGCGAATGACACTTACGCAGGGGGGACCGACACTAGCGTCAGTGACCTTTTCAAGGGGTAAGTGACCTCGATTCGCACCGCCAATGACACTCAAATGACACGCTTTGACACTCAAAACGCCATGTTCGGGCTTTCCTTGTCGGCCCCAATCAAATGTGGCAGTTGTCACACTTCGACTCTTCGATTTCAACAGAATCCCAACCCCTATCAAGCCAAAAAGGGCACTTAGCAAACGAATCAAGGGGCACTTAGGCCACCGACACTGCCTTAAGTGCCCTCGATTCAAAAACAGGCCAAGGTTGGGAGCATTTGGTGGAATTCATCCCATTTCTTGTGTGCGGTGAATTCCTGACAGGCAAAATCTGGTATTTGCGCAGCTTGCATTGTGGGTTATCTCCGGTTTTTGTAAAGTGAGGCGCGCCGTGAGAGCGCGCGCGCGTTGCAAGCCCGCACGCCCGCACGCACGCAAACACACACAAACAAACAAACAAACAAACAAACAAAAAAAGCAAGCAAGCAAGCAAGCAAGCAGGCAGGCAGGCAAGCAGGCAAGCAGGCAAGCAGGCAAGCAGGCAAGCAGGCAAGCAGGCAAGCAAGCAAGCAAGCAAGCAAGCAAGCAAGCAAGCACACACACAACCCACCCACCCACCCAAACACCCAACCACCCACCCACCCACCCACCCACCCACCCGCCCGCCCGCCCGCCCGCCCGCCCGCCCGCCCGCCCCCCGCCCGCCCGCCCGCCCGCCCGCCCCCCCACCCACCCACCCACCCACGCGCGCGCACACGCAGGCAGGCACGCAGGCACGCAGGCACGCAGGCACGCAGGCACGCAGGCACGCAGGCACGCAGGCACGCAGGCACGCAGGCACGCAGGCACGAACGCAGGCACGCAGGCACGAACGCAGGCACGCAGGCACGCAGGCAGGCAGGCAGGCAGGCAGGCCTGCAGGCACGCCGGCACGCCGAACGCCGTCACGCTGGCACGCTGGCACGCTGGCACGCTGGCACGCTGGCACGTTGGCTCGCTGGCTTGCTGGCTTGCTGGCTCGCTGGCTCGCTGGCTCGCTGGCTCGCTGACTCCCTCGCTGGCTCGCTGGCTCGCTCGCACGCTCCCGCGCACATGCGCACGCGCGCACGCACGTGCGAACGCACGCACGCGCGCACGCACGCACGCACGAACACCAGCCACGCCAGCCACGCCATGCATGCATGCATACACTCATGCACGCACGCACGCTCCCGCGCACACATGCGCACGCTAGGGTGGGCGGCTGGGTGGTTGGGGGGTGGCAAGTGTGGGAAGCGTGGGAAGGGTGGGAAGGATGGGAAGGGTGGAAAGGGCCAGCCAGCTGGTGATAGCGAAGCTCTAGGATATGACCACAAGTTCCTTTCAATGTAGACGGCCAGCAAAAACTGACACCCGTCAACCTGATTCGAGAGAGGCCCTCCTCAAACCGATGCCCTAGACAGGGTCAAAAAGTCGATTATTTTTACGCTAGCGATTTCGATCGATTCGGCAAACGCGAAATCGCAACCGGCCTCAAGTGGACAAAGTCCTCCAAGAAATGGGTCTGGACCTCGTTCGAGGTAAACAGGATGGTCTGGACATGTGGAAAATCTAGTGGATCTTAGCAGCCAGAGCAGCAATTGTTGTGGAGGAAACAAGAAGCAGACACGTGTCCTGTTTCAACATTGGAAGGTTGTACTTTGGAGCACCTCATTCATGCTGCACTTGTCTTGCAAGTTTTGCTGCGGCAGGATTGCCATGGCCCTTGTTTGGGAACGTGACATAAAGCACGGCCCTCTCTAAACTTGGGAGAGCAACTCGCCAAACAGGAAGGACAAGGATAAATAACATAAGCAAACAACAAAATCAAACAACAAACAAGGACAAGTAACTACCAAAAGGAGACTTAAGCAAACAACAACATAAAACCATTGTGCTATAAGCAACAAAAAACACGCGGAAGCCCCGACCTTCCAAGTTGATCCGGCTTTTCCAAAAGGCGCCCGGGACCTTTGGGCGACCTGGTTTGTTCACCTGTCATCTAGGGGGTCCGAATTTTCAACTCATAGCCGATGTCCAGCCTTGCTCTACCACAAGAGAAACCAGAAAACTCAGGAGACGCAAAGACAAGCTTCAAAGGAGAGCGCCAAGGCGCCGCTTCCAAGTTGGCGGGGCTCAGGCAGCCACAGGAAACGTTCATCTTCTTCACCTCAGGCTATTGCAGCTTCCGACTTGCACTCACTCCTTGTAAGCCCTGTACGAACTTATGATCATACCATGTGAAGTCAATATGGCAAGGGACAAGTTGAGCACCCGATCCAAGGAACGCGCTTGATGAGACACATCAGAGATATGTGGTTCGTCTACTTGCATCCAAATGTTGGTACTTGATTCATCAAGAGCCCCCCCCCACTCCGAACAATTGACGCGACGGAATAGTGACCAAAGGATTTGGGGAATACAAACAATAGAGGACTCCGGGGACCCACTACTAATGTAGTCGAGCAACCACTTCTTGCCGAGCATATTTTTTTTGAATAATACTTTGGTCTTGTAACCAATTTTTGCTGAAAAGCACAGAGGGCTGCAACAAATGTCAAAGCAATACACAAAGTTGGGGTTGGGGGGCAGGGGGCTGGGCACTAATCTAGTGCGGCCCTTATTCTGGTTTGGGGTGTTGTGTGAAATACCCTTGCCCTGATTGTGTCTTGCATGTTTCAAACAATGTTTATAAAGATTGCATTCTCAGAGCTGGGATGTTTCTGAGATTTCAAGGGTCACAAATGGTCTTGGATTCTGTGACTGACAAAGTTGGCAGGTGGTTGTGAAAAAGTAAAAGGAATACACCAAGTTGCCATTTGACTGCAACACGTACCATAGACTGGACATTCTCAAGAAACCTTCAGTGGAACAGAAGAACTGCTGGACCTGCGCTGCTCAAAGAAAAGATTGGACGCCTCCAATCACAAACTCGGCAACATAAATAAAAATAGGCGCTTGAATCCAGGGTTGTACCCCTTTTTTTTCCTTCCTAGCGAAGGCTGCCGTAGAAACAGAGCTGCGAACTAGCTCCACCAGTTCAATAATTGCACTTGTGTGCTTCCCCGGAGTGAGACTTCTGCTTCTACAAATGCTGGCCTCGAGTGGCGGGGCCGGCATGACCTCTATGTATGAGATCTTGGCAAACGTGCAATTGACAAATTCAACACTTCGGTGCCTTGGGCTGACCTATCGGATCAAAGGTGATTTTGCGAAAAGCAAATCAGAAACCCGCTCTGGGTGACTCAGCAGGCGATTCGACGGCATTGCCCAATTGGCACATGCTGGGCTCGACATAGTGGACATTCAATATCAACCTGTCTTCTCTGCAGGCACCACTCCCCGATGCAGGCAGCATGATACAGGTGGCCACAACTGAGTCTGGACGCACTGCCGAAACATTCCAAGCAAATTACACATTCCCCACATGCCTCCACAGCTTCCAGTCGCGCCAGGCTGTGCAGAATGCCCTGCTGCAGCTCCGCAGCTTGGATGTCCGCACGCAAGTCCGGACTTCCCAGATGATGACCGCTTTGCTCGCTTTGTTGAGCGCGCCAATGCCGAAGGCGGGAGATGATCTGTCCCAAGAGAAGCAGCAGGCAGCAAAAACCAATGAAACACAACAGTGGCATATAGTCCTTCATTGCGCGCAGGCAAAACTTGAAATTGGTTCCTGCTTGAGCCCAAAAAGGGTTGTACCCGTCTAATGTATGGGTTATCTGGTGCTTGGTCTGTCCGTTGTGAAATAGATAACTCAAGACCTCAGAAGCAAGCTAGTAAAAGCTCAAGGATTCCCAACGCGCACACAACCATGATGTCGTGTATAGTTTATCTTGACGACACCAATGCCCTGATCTTCAGGCAAAGCAGGCTGCATCGCCTCATATTGCGATAAATAGCTGACTGGCCATGACCATTGAGAAGCAAAGGACAAAGCAACATCCGAACAAGTTGGATCGTAAGGCAAACCGTGTGTGTGTCTGTGAGGTTTGAGGTTTCAGGGTATTTCGTGGTTTAAAGTGAAACGGCCCATTGTTCGGGGGGTCGCGGTTGCCGGTTGTGACACATTCCCTCACATGTGTTTCGTTTTGTGCAAGGCGCAAAGTGTGAGTGGTGGTTCTTCTTGGGGAGGTTCAGGAACTGCAGGCGCTTGTCCATGTGTCGGATATCCTCCTCCAGGTGCGAGGTCATCGGGAGGACCTTGTCAACTTTCGAAGCGTAGCCTCGGCATGGCAACCATGTGTTTTCAACTTCCCCGCGGGAACTCCAAAAGGGAGTAGCCTTAAATCGAGATTCCCGTATGTGCAGGCGCTTCATTTGGGGAGAAGGAGTGGGAGAAGGTTCAGCTTGTTTGAACCTGCTTTTCAAGGCTGACAAGTTGGCAAAGCGTTGGGTCCCGCACCCGTAAGAAACAGGGCGGCACGGCATGTCAACAAAAGGGTCGAAGCCAGTGACAACAATAGTGGTGACAGCTGTAAGTTGCCCGAGCATAAGAAGAGAACCCTTTTAGTGTGTAGTCTTGCTCGGGGAAACCATAAAAAGGAGCACCGAAAAATCACACTGCTGTAATTGACAACTTTCCAAGGCAACAACCATGCAAGAGGGACAGCTGCCAACTTTCCACCTGGGGAATCATCTGGTCTCCACGTTGAGACTTAGCCTGCTAAATCAATGGACTCTTTGGGGGAGGGGAGGCATTGCAAAATCAAAGGGCAAGGCGTTCATGACACCATACAACAGATATAAGGGCCATATTCACCATTATTTAGGGACGCAGCTTGGATGTACGCCAACGTTTCATGGGGCTCGCTTTCCTTCCTTCCGAGGGTCAAAAGGTAAGAGTTGCAAACTCCCGCCCGATGCGGTCTGGGCAACACCACTGGGGGATCATGTGACAGTCCTCGACGTCTGAGTTGTCCTGGTACCTGCCAAAAGGGTATGAACTCAGATCGGAACTGGACATGGGGATGGATGTCCAACTATTGACGCTGTTCTTAACACCCCACACCGAGCAGTCGGCTTTCGTATCGGGCGCATGCCATCACTGTCCGTGCGCTTTTGGCAGTGGATCATGTTGCGTGTCTGAGCGACGTCAACCCCAGCGAGTCCAAAGCCGAAAGGAAACCCCTCAGGCCCCTTTGGGGGTTCCTGAGGCTGTGGATGCTCCGGCGCGGGGGCTTGTGTTGATAATGAATGGTTGGGGCACTTTCTGGTGACCAAGCTGACCCACTTGTTGAAGGTCGTGCAGTTGGGCTCCTCATGGTAGTGAAGGCCCTCCTTCTGATACCTGAGACAGCGGCAGGCAAAGTGTGCAAGACTGGAAAGGCCCATATATCGACTGGCAAAGCCCGTTGGGTCTCGGAAAATTGCTTCATCGGCGGCATCGGCAACAAGTAGGATGGATCAGTTCCAAGAACATGACATTTGTACACATGCATACATACATGTCTATCTATCCCTATAAATATGATATTTTATATATGTATATATGTATGTATGTAAACATACAGACATATGCATCCACGTTTCCGGCCCTCGCGGGTTCCTTGAGCAGACCTAGCGCTGGGCCCGGTGTGGGCCCCTTTTCAGTCGCGCAATCAGGGAGTACGGAGGATCTGTCGGCCATCCTTGGGGACACCACCCAGTGGAAAAAGGCACAGCGTGAGCAACATTTGTTGGACACGATGTGTCAAAACAAGCAAGCCCTGCACCCTCTAAAGAGAGACCCAAAAAGAGCAGAACCACTTTGTTTCAATCATGCTCCAAGGGGTGGTCCGAACCCTGGCTAGCCTGAATTGTGTATCAAAATTGAAAGTTGAAGCTGCAACTGAAGAGTCCTGGAACTTCATGCCCGCTTTCATTTACTGAACCCACATTTAGTGAACCCAATGTGTGAAAGACACCAGGGATTCAGATTCTAGACTGTCGAAAACGGTCCATGAAATGGGGTTTTGTTGATCTTGGTTTCCCCAAAATCGATGCAAAAATAATGGGACTCAGCCCGGAAGACGTGGTTGTTTGTTTGTTGAGGGTACGCTGTTTAGCTTGGTTTGAAGGGAACCCCCTCCCATGTGCTAACACATATGTTGAAGGGACCCCTCAAAGAAGTGCTTTGAAGGGAATCCCCTATTGAAACAACCAACATGTATATACGCATGAATGAATATAAATGTACATCATATGTATATATATATATATATATTGTCATATCTAATATACGAGTATCTCTATATATATATACTAATATGTATATCACATACCCATTTTGAAGAAAGCGACACCCTTGATGGGATCCGGGGCACGCTTGGTACCAGCCCTGGAGCCGGGCCCAAGCGAACTCCGAGACCAGGCGGTCGCAAACGTCCCGCACCACCGCCCAGCTGTCGGGCACATGCTCCTGGCACTGTCGGTGTGGTTACCTTCTTTGTGGTACTCCGTGGGTGTGTTGAACAAAAATGGGACAGACCACAATGTTTTTGGGGTCGCCAAAACAATGACACACCCAAATGGGTAGTTTCCTTTTGGTTTCCCAAACCAAACCAAAGGGACCCCCAGGAGGAAGCATTTTCTGGGGGGGCTGCTTAAAAGGGAAAACGTCAGTATGTATCAAAATAGCGGGAGGTCGCAGTAAGATGGATGACCGACGAATTATCGCGGAAACTCTTTACAAGGGTACCTGATCCCATGCGGACTGGTGACTCGTTTTTTGGAGTTGGTACCCTTTTATTGTGTGTTTACAAGGAAACCGCTAGGAGAACCACCACTTTGGAGCATCCCCAAAAACAAGAGACACACACACATATAATTGTCACACATATGTCTACTGGGTTGAAATAAGCAATGCTTGGTAGGTTCTTCAAAAGATGCATGGCACCATCCACTCGTTTCACTATTTTGACTCCTGCGAAGTCGCACACTGGTAGCGCACTGCTCTTTTGCCTGCTATGCGGATTAAGCTCAAACAGAAAAAGCACTGCAATGACTACCTTGGCCCTTGCAGACATGTGTCAAATGGCTAAGCATGTTGCTCTGCCAAATGTCCTGAAATGAGTGTTCTGCTGACACTGCTCCTGTGGCTGCTGTGGGGTGTCCTTTGGCGGGCCGGATGCTCCATCGGGGCCGGGACTGTAGTCAGTCCGGGCCGCTTGGCTTCGGGCCGGCTTGCAAGAGAAAGCATTCGATTCAACCTCCAAGCATGCTCATGCACTGAAAAGGTGGTTCCTGGGCTGCACTGAGGAGAATTACACACTCATTCTTTCTTCTCAGCACAGGAACCGCTTCCATCTGAAGAGATTGCTTCTGCTTCCACTTCTGCCGCCCGCTTCGCCCGTCTAGTCTCCACTGCTGCCTCTTTCTGTGTTGTATCTTGCGCTTTTCGTCGAGCATTCCTCTTAGATCTCTCTTTCGCGTTTCTGCTCTTTAAGTTGCTTGTTCTCATCCGTCTGCACAAAACTAAGCAACCCGTCACGCAAAAACCTTTTGAGAATATCCTTGCTCCCGTTTGCTTTCGTAAGCACATCTGCAAAATTCTGCATGCCATCTATCCACCGAACTGAAGCGTTTGGCTGTCTGACTGTTTCTCTCAGCAAAGCGCCTTCAATCGCCATCCTCTTATCCGTGGATGTGCTCGTAGCTTCTCGCTGCAGATAGTCGTAAACCGACTTTGCATCCGTCACATAAACTCGCTGCCGGCGATGAATGGTCTCCTGCCAGTTACGCAAGTCTAAGCTGCCCGTGAGGGCTTCTTCCAACAAAATGCAAATCCAGTCCCCTGCTTCTAAATGGCTTGCCTCGGCTGCTAAAGTGCTCCTGCAAACTCGTTTCGTCTGACTGCTCTGAAACGCCAATATGTTGCACCTGGCTGCTTGGCCCTGCATGATCTCCTTGTTTGCGGCCAGAATGAAACAGCCACCCACCGACTTGTAACGCATCTGCTCGTTACTCTCCGGAGTGCCATTGGCATGACCCGAGTCTGCTAAATGCACTATCACCGAATCTTGCAAATTCACATCTGCCCAGTACCTCATGCGGAAATCTTCTGCTCTGCGCGCCTGCCCAACATACTGCCTCAGCTTCACAAGATCTGCCATGCAGGCTTCACGCTTGCAACGCTGAATAACACCGTTCTCATAGGCAAGGTCGCACCGCAACTGTCTCGCCACCCAACCAAGTTCCCCGGCACTGCTGTCCAAGAGTTTGGTCTCCTCTGCTGTCAGTGGTGATGAAAGTTGCTTTCGCCTCGCCCTGTCGATCTTGACGTTGCTCATGGACAGTGCGTAGTTCCGCATTGATACATCTAGGTGTCCTTCTTCAGTCTGCTTGACTTCACGTCCCCTGAAGATGAACTCCTTGTAGTGGTTTGTGGCAAACTCCAGAGCTTTGCTTGATCTTGCAAAAGCGACATCCTTGTCCAAACATTCTTGTCGAACTCCGCCTTCAATGTCATCGACGTGTGTGACCAGAATTCCTGCCAAGTGTCCACCACGGCGTAGGTAAAACAGCGCAGGCTCCAGCTTGGACTCCACCCAACCGTCTGAAATTAAGTGATCGCGAAGTGCGAGCCAAAACGTCCGAGCTGCCTCTGCAAAACCATAAATTGCTTTGCGAACTCGTAACAGTTGTCGTGAATCCAAACCTGGCAAACCGCCCCGTGGCTGTGACAGATAAATCTCCCGATCCACGCTTTTGCCGCTGAAATAGGCGTTCTTGATGTCCTTTGCCAATAAAACAAAACCCAAGTGAGCGCAAACTGCAAGGCAAACTGATTCTGCGACTGCTGAAGCTGTTGGTGCATCACGCCTGTACTGACCAAGCGCTTTGTCCTTGAAACCTTGCACCACTAGCCTTGACTTCGCTTGAAACTCTTTTCCAATCAGGCCGTCTGCTTTGTTCGTTCTCACCCAGCGCGTGGTTATGATGAGGTCCTTCTTCTCGGCACGGATTCTATCACTCTCTCCCACGCTGAGCACCTCACAGGCTTCCTTGCTAAGACATGCTTTCCACTCACGTTCGTCAGAACCGTCATCTCCAGTAAATGTCTGCTGATGCTCCCTGTCAAGCTGATTCAGATTTATCTCTTTCCTGCCCTTCTTCTTTCCACCTCCAGTGCTGGTAGTAGATGAAGTTGCTGCAAAACTCGTCTCTGCGGCATCCTCTAAGGCAAGGTACTGATCGTGAAAGTCGTTCCGCTTGACGCCAAACAGAAATTGCGACTTTGAGACCTCCCAAGCTGCATAGGCTGTCTCATGCTGCCGGATATGATGTTCAGCTTCTCGAGTGAGAAAAGACTGTGATTCCACTGCCCGATAGGAAAAGGATCTGCCATCCGCTCGAAGAGCACTATCATCTGCGGTTTCCCACTCCATGACCCGAAGACGTTTCGCTTCCCGCTCGGCTGCTTCCTCCTCCGGGCTCTCAACCATGGGACTCAGCTGCCGGCAAGGCTTGGTGTGATAATCGTCAAGGTCCGGATCATAGGCATCTCCAACTGGGGTACTTATCGCGTCATCTGATGGTGGTGCCCTTGTCGTGGACGTTGCTGGCTTGCTCAAGCTAGTGCGTCTAGCTTTGGCTCTTTTCTCAAAGAATTGATACTTCTTCAGCTCTCGCTTCCGATCCCTCTTGGATTCAGCTTGCATTTGCGATGCTGATGATGAACTCAAATCTCCCGAACGTTCACCGGCTGGCACTGTTGACACCTCAGGCGGCTTTGCTTGCTGCGGCTCATGTGGAAGTGTCTCCTTCTGCTCCTCCGCGTCTGAAACATCTTCCAATACGCCTGGGTCATAGTCCGGAATTGGCGCTGCCCGCAAATCCACGAAACCGGTCCCTCCTGCTGCCGGAAGAGCATCAATCAGTTCTCGCTCCTGATTGACCACTGACCATTGCGACACATCCTCATCGAAAGCTCTGGCCAGATGTTCCGGACATACGGCTAGGAGTAAACCGCGATGCGCAATCCAGATTGTATGCGTGCCCTCACTTCCAATGACTCGAGCAATCGCAGTAAAAACAGTACATACCAGGTTTCCATGGACCGCGGTGAGGACGTACCTGCCGAAGTTCTGCACGACGAATGGCACTGGAATTGGCTGCTGTTACATATGCCTGTCGTGCCTCTGAAGAAACGCGTCTCAGTTGATGCTGCTAGTGCCTGACATCCAATGCAAGTGACCTCCTGATCATCTACCAAACTTGCCGGAAGTCGGATGTCCTTGCCGAGCACCCACTGACTTGGGCTAAAACCGCCTCGTCGTGCCAAGCTGTTCTTTGCCCAGTTCACTGCGGCTGTCGCCAGGAGAACCTCGCTTCGTCCATGTACTTGCTGCGCCCATGCCATCCGGCGGAAAGTTGATTCCCAGATACCGCCATGTCTCTCGACTTGCCCGATCTGCCATGGTGATGCCTTCGCTGCTGAAGTGAACCTGCAGCCATGGTTTGCCAACTCATCGGCGAAAAGCGCCAAGAAATATTTCCCGCGATCTGCTATGAGACCTTCCTCAGGAAAACCTGCCCAGCTCAACCATCCCTGCGTGAACGCCTCCAAAACTGCTTGCCCAGTTGGATTCTTGTGCGTCTCATCCAGTAAAATGCAGAGCTGAAAGGTTGTTCCTTGACACAAAACGTTCAACCATGACCACTTCTGTCCTGTACTGTCCGCCTCTTCCAGTATGTCCACGCCAATGTGCACATTGAACTCTTCTGCAATGGGCAGTTTGCTCGGGCGTGGCAGATGAGGCTCTTTCATCCTCGGACAGTCTGGGCAACGAAAGAGTCTACAAGCCTTGAGCGCCGTGACTGATGCCTTGGACAGGCGTAGTGCTTTGAGATTTGCAACTGTATCCGGGTGTCCAAGATTCACGTGCACCCGCTTGATTGCTAGCTTGAGCTCTCTGGGAAGTGCCACCCATTTCCGATCGCGCTCCTGCTCTTTCTCCAGCAAATGATCGGCGTCAGGCTCCTCCCGCTCCGGTTGACCTTCATTAGTCTGACCATAGATCACCATGTACATCTGTCGGCTTGTTGAAGGCAACGGTCTGACCTGCGATGATGGGGCCATCTGTGCCCATTCCTCATAGTCTGTCGTCAGCGCTGTGTCGTCCTCCAGTAAAATGAAAGATTTCCTGATTGGCAACTCTGCCGGGCCTCCATGTGGTTGTGGCTTCTTCATCCTTCTTGCATGCAGTGAGCAAAGAATAAGCTTCACCTCCGTGCTTGTGGATTCAACGCCTCGCCATTCACGACCAATGTCTGACTGCAGGTCCATCACCAACCAGTCTCCCGGCGCTTGCTCCCTTACGTATTCCAGTGTGCGTTGTAACAGATTCAGCATCTCTTGTGAAGAAACCTCCGTCCAGTAACCACGCTGCAAATAACGAGTCCGTGGTCGGCCTCGTC